TTTTTTATTGTAAATTTTTTTTACCGGGTTACCGCAACAGACTACCGGCCTAGTCGCCAGGGCCACCCACTCACCACCTATGTGTGGTGGTGTATTTTCGCACCCATTTTTAACCCTTTTACTGATATCATACCTAATCTATGGGCACAGTGCGAGTATCTTCAGTAAAACACCTTGCCAGTTATGCTGAAACTCTCTGCATCAATGGTGCATTGAGTTCCCTTGCCACTGTGTAGCTTTTCCCCGGAGAAGACTTCGTATTCCAGGACTCCTCGCCAGTTAAGCCGGCGCTCTCTGCCGAAGCATCGGATCCAGGCTATTTAGCATCACCGAAAAAGCCCCATATTTCAGGAACCACTCTTTGCTGGTAAGTTTGGCGATCCCTGCCAGGCGCATTGGATCCGCTAATTCCTACCTATAGCCCTAACACTGTTTCGCATTTACCCAGGCCCGAAGACCTGTGGGGCAAGCAAAAAACCCTGGAATTACTTTGAAGGAAAATTTTACGGAGAAACTCGCCCTGAAACATCCGGGGTTACATAGAAACTTTTCCTGATGAGAATAGTTTTTGAAAAAATCTGCATTCACCAGGAATCGAACCCACGACCCCTAGACCAGGGTTGTTAGCTCAAGGAAGAAGGAATTGCTGCAGATAACAGCTACGGTTTTTCCAGAGCCATCTGGAGATGAAGTGTTAAAGCAGTTGTACTTACAAGAAAATATTAGAAACATACGAAGCAAAAAACTTATGAAGGACTTGCAGAGTAAACTGAGCAGAACACTTACCTTGCAAGAGTACTCTTAAGAGAGAGTGTAACGCTATATTAGTTCTCTAGAACCTATAAATTAAGAAAATCTATGTCAAGCAGGTTTAGGGGAGCTTCTTATGAGTTCTTGCTTCCTCCTTTGCTCCCTGAGGTAAGAAATACGTGAGAAGTAGTTGTACTCTTTCATGGTTTTCTAGCCATTAAACTGTAGTTGCAAAAAAAATTTAAATAAATTATAGTGATTTTCAGTGAATAAATCAATCAGAATTTTATTTTTTATGCATACATAATATTATTTTCCACACTTCCGGCTTATTTCACTTCCCTTCGAGCTCATAAAGATGCAAGTGAACAGAAATTTCTATAATTAATGTTTGAAAAAAAGAAAAAGAATTATTATACCTCTGCTTAGTGAGCTTATTGAGGACGTTCGGTAGAGATAGCGGGGGGAACCACTTGTGGGGCAAAAGGGAAGTAGCGATGAGTAAAGACTTGGCATCGCCGCACGGGTCTCCAATGTATGAGTGTTCATGTACTCACATATAAACACACATCAGGTGGTGTACATTCTGCAGTTTCTGCACTGTCTGCTGCGTCGGTTACGGCTGCGTATGTGTATGTTTGTAATGTATTTGTGCTAAAGATGTAAGTATTTGATTTTTATTCATTATAACAATGTAATAAAAATAAGTAAAAAATTTGAAAGATTTGTGACAGATATCTGTACATACAATTATATTTGTAGCTAATGTAAATAAAATTCTTGAATTCTTATGTGACTTGAAAGTTTTATTGAAAGTGATATGTTAAATAATTAGGACATACTCTAGTCTCTGCGATTACTACAAGTATGTGATTTTGTTATCTTGTGTGAAAAAATTGTATTGTATAAAAATTACAAATAAAAAATTTACTAAGAAAAATAAATATGTGATATTATAATACATTATTTTGTTATGGGTGTGGGTGGAACCTATGTACATACACTCACACACATGTATAAGCTTATATTTTATACAGTAATACATAAATATCTACCATGATATTCAAATATTTACTGATTTACGTCCTGGAACATTTTGAATTTCCCGTTCTTGCTATGTTGCCACTGCGTTTTTGTCAAACTATTATTTAATTTTTTTTTTCATAAACTAATCAGACGATCGTCGCAAAACTTCGTGTACATATAGTTAATAACATTATCTGTGACATATAAATAAAATTGGAGATATTCATCACTCCAATTTTTTTCAAACTGAGTTTTTATAAGTTTCCCCATAAGCGACCGTGTTAGAATGACTGAACTTTGAAATTCAATATCTCGGAAACGAAACAGACGAACCTCTTGAAATTTTAACAGCTTCATTGTAACAACAATAAGAACGTCTGGTTAAAATTTAAAAAAGATTTATCACAGGGTTCTATCTCTACCGAACGTCCTTAATCTATTTATTGAGATTTGGCCCATGCATGCATTTTTTAATGCTTTAAAAATGTACTACCTTGTATGATAAGAATAGTTATCTTATGTAAAACTTGAAAAACAATAATTTACTAACCCTATCATCTTTTTGGGTTAATTTTGTATGTAAATTACTTACAAGGACACATTAATTAATTATATCAACATTTGTTATTATAAACAAATGAGAGATAAGTCGTGGACCACAAAAATTTTTATTCTAGTTCAGGACCCTAAAAACTACGTTTTTCAACTTTTCTTTATTTCATTGCAACCAGTTGATCGAAATAATTTTAAAAAATTAAACAGTACAACTGATTTCTGTTGATCGATTTTAGGCTTGCGAGAAAGCCAACATAACCGTACATAAAAATTTTTAGTTACTTTCAAACGCGATTTTGATCATACTTTAATTTAATAAAATTTTTTTAGAGCGGAACTGTAAAAAGTCAGTTTTCACTACATAAAAAAAAATTTTTTTTTCCTTTTATGTAATGATAAACGTATATTTGTATGTTATAGAATCGAATTATAATTATCAGATCACGAGGAAAAAAAACAAAACGAATAGTGTTGTTTTGAATTTTTTTTTTTGTCTAACTTTTTTTTCTTCTAGATTTTGAGCCTAGTCAAGCTTCTTAGAATATTTACAAAATTAAGTTTACTAAGGGCATTATACTTATAGTAACAAGAAAGACATTTTACTATACTAAGTAATTATATACCTTTTACTTTAATGTATTCAGTCTGCTATAAAACTTTTTGCAGACAAAACTTGCAGAATGAACTTTTAAAGTTTTCGACGACTAATGGTAGATTTATCATGCAGGCCATAAAAAAATCTTCAAAATACCATAACGTTCCTTTTATTGTTTCTAAACTTTTGTTCAACTTACGCGATATGTTATTTAAGTTTATCGAACTAATACAGTAAATTTGTCATCAATAGTATTAGAAACCCCCGTAATACTCAAAGAATGTTGAATGTGTTTAAAAATAAGTTTTTCACCTCAAAATCACCAAACAAGTTAATAAGCTAAGTGTTAGTTAACTACATGTCAGTCTACTACATTAGATCTTAAATGTTCATTCTCCTTATATAGGAAATTAATCACAGCACGTAGAATAATTTTCTGAGTATAACGAAATTTTCCTGCAAGATGTACTTGAACATCTGCTGGCTACCTAAAAAGAATGCTAAATTAAATTCGTTAAAAGAAATTTTAAAATAGTTTCAAACTCTAAAAATGTATTTTTACGTTGTACAATTAATGTAAAATAATCTTCAGCTATATTATATATTAAATTAGTTTTTTATTGTAAACTGGTGTTACAGGTAGTAGACGTTTCATTTGCAATCAATGTGGTATTCGTTGCAAAAAACCTTCAATGTTAAAAAAGCATATGAAGATGCATACAGACGTTCGAATATATACTTGTCAGAATTGTTCTTCCAGGTAACAAAGTGTTCCTTTCTAAATAAATTGCTTATTTATTCTCAATTCACTTACTATATAATTTTTTAGCTTTAGAAGTAAAAGCAACCTTACTAAACACATAAAGTCAAGGTCTCAGTATAGAAAATGTAAAAACGTAAAAGAAAAAAATTTAAATCAAGCAACTAAAACAGTTAATACTACTAAAGATGCAAAGATGCATTCATTCGATGAGAATAAAGTTGAAACTGAACTCGTTAGTGAAACTGAATCCGAGGGTAGTATAAGTAAAGAGTCTAAAACAGAAGAATGTGAGATAGCACAGGATTTTTTCAGTCTTTCAAAGCCAAGAGAACGGGACTTTCCAGGATTATTTACTTTAAATAGACCAATAACTTACCCATATGACTTATGTACTCGTCTTTCTTTGGATACACCGTTTCAAAATCAACCGATTGTCTTGAATTTTCAGGAAAAAAATCATCCTTCTTGTGAAACATTTGATTGTGACAATAACATTCATAATTTTTATAAAAAACAAGACGCTACAATCTCACCAATTGACCTTACGATAAAATCACCTTATTCTATCATTAAACGAACCAAATCAATCAATATCTTAGCAAGTCTATCAGATCCAGCATTGTTGAATAGTATTGTTCAAACAATGGAGTGTATACCTTCAAAAATTCAAACCAAATTGACAGAACAACCAATTAATAAAGAAATGCTTCAAGCCTATCTGACTGAGCGTTATATGAAAGACAATAAAGTAAAAGAACAGTATCGAGTTTTTCACGAAGAGAAAATATCATTAAAAGAATCAAGTCATCTAATTTCTTCAGATTTGTTGAGAAAAACAGTTGTTAATCAAGAGAATAAGCTTACTAATTTAGAGTATTTGGAAAAACTGAACCAAAAAGTGATGTCGAAACAAAGTAAAGATTATAATTTAGAATATCGTACTTCCTTTTCGTCCAAACATCAAGAGAATTTTATTGCCAACCTGCCATCTGATCGTAGCTTACAAAACATTGAATATAAATCTATTACCTTAGAAACATCTGATGATGAACTATCAAATCCACGGCACACAAGCATTTCCTTGGATCCTTCAAACAGTGAAAGTATATCCAAAATAGAATCAAATATTACTGAGGCAAAAAAACTACAATCACCAATTCAGAAAAATGTTGCTGATTTCCGGGATTCCCGATCAGTTTCTTTAAGTAACATGACTGAAATGACATTGAAATCGGACTTAATTCAACCAATCATTATAAATCCAAGTTACCTCAGGTAAATTTGTTTTAAAATAGACTTAGTCATATAACATTCAAATTACTTTACTAACACTTGATGTATGCATATATTAGTCTGATCTATCAATGTTTGTCGTACACCTAAAAAGTGTTTTATATTTCCATAAATGTGGACCATTGCAACATTGCCTCAATATTTTAAGGGAGCTCCTCAAGTAACTGATTTACATCAGGTTTTGTTCGAAATTGGTCTGACGGCTCTTTTTGTAGCAGTCAATATTGTGTTAAGTATTTAGTATTGGTATAAAAAATAACTTTTTATTTATAATTTTATCTAAATGAATTAAAATTTGTAATCAATGTACGGTATCGTTTTTTAAATATTTAAGTACAGTACTTGAGAAAATCTTGAAACGCAAAAGTCCAAGTTTATTTAATTATTTTATTCTTATTTAACTACGTCCTACATGTAGTTAAAATAACTCACAGTAATACATTATTAGATAGAGCAAGAATAACTTAAGACCTCTCTTACATGTATAAAAAAGTATATCTTGAACATTAATTGCTTTTTGTCACAATGATTTTGTAGTCTGTCGATGCCAAAAACTTTGTTACAATCATAACAGTTGCTATCAAGTAACTAAAGTTTCTTTAATGTAACTTAATCTGCTAGATTAAAAACTGTGAATTTCATCCACTCATTAGCTTAGGTTGATAATGTTTAAGAACATTATCTTTTAAAAAGTGATTGTCTCTAAAATGAATTTAGTGTATTAGAAGACGTTCCGACCTTACTTTATAACCTCACACCTCTTTTATGAATAATAATGAGAAAAGATACAAAACTAGGACTTCAAGTAATTATTCAAGCCAAAGTTAAAACCGGAAAATTGCAGCTTGTAATCAGTACTAGTTCTGTGTCTCTTCACATTATTTTTCGTACAAGTATCAATAGCTTTTGACAAACATTTCGCTAAGTACCATCTCTTTGCCTATTCTCATTATTTTCTGCAGAACTAACTGTAATGTTATTAACTGATAAAAATTGATTGAAGAAAGACTGTCGGCTTAATAGAATTTTCTGCTAATAATTTGAATGTCAATATATCTGACTCTTACTCTTACTTAATGTAGTTGTATCCTTCGTACAATAGCAAGCTAGTGCAATTTAAACTTGAGAGTCTCGTCTGTCCTCCTCATACTTATGAGGAAGTAGAATCTTCAGCAGTTTTTTCTACGCTTATTAATCCATTTTTTATATCAAGGGTACCTGCAGTCTTTTGTAAAATAAAAAAAATCATCACATAGTTATGGAGTGTAAAAAAAAAATCTTTCACAGTTTACTATAATTTTTATGACATAAACATGTGGAGCTTATAGAAAAACTTAAATTATACTTAATTATAACTAAAGATCAGAAAAAATATTAATAGTAAAACAATTTCCACTTTTTCTGGAAACTCTACCCTCACAAAAGTCTGAAAGCGTACTTTTTTTTTACCGGGTTACCACTACAGCCTACTGGCCTAGTTGCGGGGGCCACCCACTCACCACCTTTGTGTGGGGGTGTATTACCAACACCCATTTACAATCCTTATTCCTCACATCCTACCTGAATCTATGAGCACACTGCGTGCGAGTATCTGCGGTGGAACACCTTGGCAGTTAAGCTGACACTCTCTGCACCAATGGTGCATTGGGTCCACTCGCCACTGTGTAGCTTTTCTCCAAAGGAGACTCCATATTTCAGGACTCCTCGTCAGTTAAGCCGACGCTCTCTGCCGAAGCATCGGATCCAGGCTAATTAGCATCCCCGAAGGAGCCCCATGTTTCAGAGACCACTGCTCGCTAGTATGGCCGGCGATCCCTGCTTAGCGCATAGGATCCGCTAATCCCTACATATATCTGCCCTAACACTGTTTCGCATTCACCTAAGCTCAAAGACCTTCTGGGTAAAGAAAAAAACCCTGGAATTAATTTTCATTAAAGTACTGTATCATTAATATATTTTGTCAACTAATATTTATAGATTAAATATCCAAGTTAAATGAAAATTATGTCTATAATTTAATTAAAAACATATGTGTACATAAGGATATAATATACAGTTTGAATTTTCTGATAATTAAGTCTAAAATAAGCATTTAAATAACACTAAAATTTTAATTTCCAATTAAAATTAATAACAAAAGATCTTTCTTAAGAGGACTGCTCTATGCATTCGATAGCTGTGATTGCCAACTAGATTTTTTTAATCATAAGACCTAGCACTTTGTGTCATCTTACTAATATATAGAGCAAAGTCGCTAAAACCGCTGTAATTGCTCACCGCGAAAACTACTGAACCGATTTTGCGGAAAATTTGCATACCGATTCTGGAGACTTCCTAGATGGTTTTAGTATAGTTTTTATCTTGAAAATTTTAATAACAATAGCTATAAATAAGCTCAAAGTTTTGCAAAAAGACACTAGCTTTTCACTTTAGTTCAATAGGATCCGCTAGGTGGCGTCAAAATAAAACCGGAGCTAGCTGCAACAGAATTAAATAAGTGTAGTTATAATAGGTTAGAGCGTATCGAAACTTAAAAATTTCTATAGATTTCTACAGTCGTCTACCGGCAGTTCATCGAGCTGCATCGTGAATGTAGTTGATAGTCGTGCATCTGGGTACCCCAGTTACCGACGACTCTCTTCTCCAACGGACAAGTGACCTAGGTCTACTTCCATCCTGAACCTTTAGGATTGACGAGTGCCACCAATAAAAAGTTATTCAAACTGATAACGCCTCTGGTGGTATACCAGGAGACGTGTCTAGCCAGAGCACAACTTGCACTAACACTTCAGAATTATGTAGCTGTTTCACCATCCAGCTTGGTCTGTTAGAGAATTTTTTACTACGAATGCAAGCCAGGGAAGACAACCCTGAAGAGCATGGGCAGCCGCAACGGCTTCCTTCTCAATGGTCGTTCCAACGGCATACCCACGTAGAGAAGGTATTCTCTACACTCACTTTACCGACTGACAATGAGCAGTTGGTCATACGGAGTACGACCCAAAGACGAGATGTTCTTTAGTCAGCATTGTACCTTTTTTCATCACGGTCTCCGTACACAGAGACTTCGAGGATAAGAGTCAAGCTACCTGCAGGCGGCTCTTTATCATTAAAAATAATAATAAGGAATGGCTGGAAGTTTCACCACTGGCCCTTTTCAGGGTCATTATAAGTATTTACGTTCCCTACTTAACCATTAATTTCATTAGTTCTTTTAAGGGTCACCTAAATTTAAACTACCTTGCCAACAAATAAATTTTTACCACCATTCCTGGAAACGATTCGTCGACCAAAATACTATATTCACTAAATACGGCCACTATTAAATCAAGTCAGTCATTCACTGGCAATCGTCACGAGCGGAGTTGTTCTTCGCAAGGCTGGGAACCCCAGTGACCGGCGACCCTATGTTACCCTCTCGACTCTAAGCATTCACCCAGGAATCACTGATCCTCTTCAAAGTCTACGCTGGGATAACCTAACTGCTATGAAGGGGAAAAAAAGTTGAGCCAACGGGACAGTCTCCAACGGGCAAGCATCGTGAACCAATCTCCCCATCTTAGATAACCAAGACAACTGAGCCTGCAAAAAAGGAAGGTGCTTTAGACACCAACGTCTTTGACGTTATACCAGGAGACGATGGGAAAGATCTCTACAACTAGCTCCAAAGCTTTAGACTTTGTAATTTTTATCCCGATCAGTCTAGGGCTCTGAGAGCATGCCAGACAAGATCACCCTGAGGTATCCAGGCAGTCACAATTGCTGTTAAGTTCAGTGGAGGAAGAGTTCACTTAAAAAGCTTACCGGTCTTTTTTAGGGCCATCAGACGTCGAACTACCTTGTCAAAAAATATATTAGAACTTAACAAAATTAATAGAAAACAGCCTTTACGGGTCAAAAAGTCTGAAGCATGCCAAAAGTCGCAAGAGGGTGAATTGGAAGGAGAACTTCAAATGTATCTAATGAATACAATTTTAGCCGTCAAGAAACTGACGCAGAAAATTTATCGAGATTGGAACGGCAGCGTCATAATCAACAAATAAAAAATCCATCACGTGAAAGATCAGCTGTTCAGTGAACCCTTACAGTAACTTCTTAAATCTTTCAGATTTTTATATTAGTAGAAAATGTATTTGTATTTTTGTGGCGATAAAAAATGTAGAGATGAGGCTTCAAGACTTTGTTGCTCTGGTATACAAGTGTTGAGATAAGAGAATAAAATTTTTTTTTGATACATATTTAGCTTTAAAAAATAGACCTTTTCATAAATTATATGGGAGGAACTGCAAATCAACGGCCTTTTAAGGCTAACGATTATTTTATGGCACAAGGAATGCATATTTTTCAGCATAATTATTTTTTTTTCAGTTTTTACAGTTTTTTACTGGATCAAATAAACTGTACGGATTTCGAACAAATATGTTTATAATAAGAAAATTTTTGTTCGGAAAAGTGTCAGGAATAGATGTAAAATTTCTAACTTAAAACGTTTTACATTACAAGTCAACACACTACAGTGTTCTATTTAGTAAATCTCGGGTGAAGCCGAGACGGGGGGCCACTAGTCAACCATAATTACACACTGTTGAGTTGTTTGCATCTTTTTGATGCTGTATTTATTTGTATGATTACTGAATACCATGTAGTATAAACGTTGCATAACTACTAATACCTGTAAAAATGATGAACTAAAAATTTGTTTAATATTTTAAATCAAACTAAGCTTTGCTGGATCACAAATTTAATTTTCGTGACACATTATTTATTATTAAAAAAAAAAAAAAAAATTTCTTGAGCAAAGTTGAAAGTCAAAAATAAAAAAAAAAATTTTTACTTTTTTCAACACTTAATCCTTGCTTAAAATCATCAGGAAAACAACTTGTGTGTTTAATATTTTGATCTGAAACTAAAACTTTTCGAGATATTAATAACAACTAAAAAAAGCTGATTTCCAAGGTATTTTGCAACAATAAACAATGACG